TAAATATGAATTTGCATCACCAAATCACCTTGGTTTCTGATATTAAAAATATACTCAGTTCACTGAGTATACTTCAGTCTAGCTCTTAATTCTCTCAGTCAACAGCAGAGCTGCCCAGACCTCATCCAGCAGGAAGCTGCGCGATGATAAAGGTGTATGCCCCTGCAGGTCTGTATGCACAGGCTTCCTCATGCATGTCATACCAAGGCACGCATCAAAGTCATCATCGTTTTCATTTTCATTCACAGCTGCTAGTGGCTCAGCTTTACTTTTGCCCCACTGCGCCATCAACGGAAACAACCCTTTATAACAATAATGCCTACACGAACACAGAGGAGGTGACGGAGCGTCCTCGGTGGCGCGAGTGAGGCCTGCGGTCTTTAACACAGTGAGAAACGCCTGGAGTTGATATTCATCTTGGTGAGGCCCAGATGTTTTAGCGGGGTGGACAGAGCAAAGGCAGCCTTCATGGGGATATCACACAGAAGGTCCGACTCCTCCCCGCACTCCTCCAGCTCGTACGTTGCGTCGTCCAGCATCTCCTTGTGACGGTGGCACACTTGCTCCACCTTGAGCCGATGGATCTCCACCCGCAGACGGATCAGCTGACGGGCCAGTCGGTTGTCCTGAACTTGCATTTCCCTCTGAGGGTAGAGGAGGGGGTGGAGGGAGCGCGGTTGAGAAGAAAGTGAGTTTCAGTGTTCAGTTTAGCAGAACATATGTGGAAGTTTGGATGGTGCCTATCTCCTCATCAAAGGGTAAAAATCATGTGGAATAGATGGGTCGCAGCTTATGAGAAAACAGGCACCATATTGTTTCGCAATCTGAGTGTTTAGACTTCTTTCCCTTAAGTTAAGACAAGCAGTCATGCAAGGAAGATCACTGACACCTAAAGAGATGCCTATCTGTTTTAAAGCTGAAGTAGGAGATGGCTATCTGTATTTCTCAAGAATGGATAAGGACTCTGTATTATTTATATATTTACTTATTCATTAATTAGTTTTAATGATTGGAGATTATCAAGAAGTGCAAATTATTTCTCAGCGCGTGACGCATCTTTAGATAAAAATCTAATCAGATTTCTGGAGGAACTCACCAGCTCTTTTCTAAGATGCTCCAGGGCATCGTCCATGGTGTCAAAGCCACAGATGCGGCCCACAACCAGTTCTGAGCTCCTCAAAATTGCCGGCACGGAAACGACTTGCTGTCCTCCTGAGTCGGGACCGTCCGCGGAATTTCTTTCCTTCCACGCTCGGCTCTGTACGCGCTCCTGCCACTCGAGGTAGGACGGTCTGCGGGTCTGTAACTTCAGCTTCTCCGTGAGCGCTTTCACGCTGTCCAGATCCTCCGTGTCGCCCTCGGAGGACGAGCCGTCTCCAAGCTCCTTAAAATCCATCGGTGCAGCAGATTGTTGATACACGCTGAGCATTCAGGGAGCAGGCTCGCTTTCTGCGCTGGCAGCTGGGCGATTAGAGCGCAACAGGTCCATGCCTCCTCCTTTATAGGGAGAAATAGCCCAGTGACCGCCCATCCCGCACAGGACAGGGAGGCTGGAGAGTTTGCAAGCTTTTGTCAAACGAGGGAAAAAGATATCCTGAAACCTAACCCCCCAGGATCTTACAGCAAAGTCTGATTATCTGCCTAATAAAAAAATAGATTTTATTACTGTGCATTCACAAGTTAAATGACTTTAAACTATTTAAAATAGTTTTACATTTATATTACAGGAGAAACTGCCAAAAGAAGAAACGATGTATGCATGTATTTCCTGGACATCACGCGTTGATGTGCAGGAATCGCTTTTCTCTTTCTGCTTGCCTTGCTTTGCATTCTGGGGTAGTTTTGATCTAAAAGTGGGTCAATTAACTGCGATTAAATTTTCATCTGCAGTATGAAAATGGAAATAATCCATAATAAATAAAGTACAACAAACGTGCGCTTGGATGTATGAGAAAAATCTATACATACTTACATACTTACACACAGTCAGGTGAAAAAACAAGTTTTCTGTTCAGCTATGTAAAAAAGTAAGTAGCCTACAGGCTTACTGTGCAATTTCCCAACAAATTCCCCTCAAGGTCAGACCAGCAATGCTCAGAAAAACTGCAAAAACCCAGGAGCTCCATCTCAGACTCTACAGGCCCCAGTTAGCATGTTAAAGGTTAAAGTTCATGACAATAAAATTAGAAAAAGACAGGACACCTTGGCTTCTTTGGAAGGGTTGCCAGGAGAAAGCCTCCTCTCTAAAAATAACATGGCAGCACAGCTTAGGTTGGCAA